ACATTGCAAGATTAGGGACGGCTGCGCAGATAGCCCTCGTGTAGCTTTGCGCGAAATCCATAACAAACAAACAAACCAACTTATATATGCTTATCTACTTACTTATCTATATGTCTGATTACTTACCTATCTATCTGTCCGTATATGTAATGTATTTTTGTTTTGTACACAATAATCATGTAGTTCAAAAGAAACAATATATTGTTCAGGAGAGTTCTATTACATTCCGAAGGTAGTTTAAAAAGAAACAATATATTGTTCAGGAGAGTATTATTACATTCCGAAGGTAGTTTAAAAATAAACAATATATTGTTCAGGAGAGTTTTATTACATTCCGAAGGTAGTTTAAAAAGAAGCAATATATTGTTCAGGAGAGTTCTATTACATTCCAAAGGTAGTTTAAAAAGAAACAATATATTGTTCAGGAGAGTTTTATTACATTCCGAAGGTAGTTTAAAAAGAAACAATATATTGTTCAGGAGAGTTCTATTACATTCCGAAGGTAGTTTAAAAAAAGAACAATATATTGTTCAGGAGAGTTTTATTACATTCCAAAGGTAGTTTAAAAAGAAACAATATATTGTTAAGAAGAGTTTTATTACATTCCGAAGGTAGTTTAAAAATAAACAATATATTGTTCAGGAGAGTTTTATTACATTCCGAAGGTAGTTTAAAAATAAACAATATATTGTTCAGGAGAGTTTTATTACATTCCGAAGGTAGTTTAAAAATAAACAATATATTGTTAAGAAGAGTTTTATTACATTCCAAAGGTAGTTTAAAAAGAAACAATATATTGTTAAGAAGAGTTCTATTACATTCCAAAGGTAGTTTAAAGAGAAACAATATATTGTTCAGGAGAGTTCTATTACATTCCAAAGGTAGTTTAAAGAGAAACAATATATTGTTCAGGAGAGTTCTATTACATTCCAAAGGTAGTTTAAAAAAGAAACAATATATTGTTAAGAAGAGTTCTATTACATTCCGAAGGTAGTTTAAAAAGAAACAATATATTGTTCAGGAGAGTTTTATTACATTCCGAAGGTCTCGTTTATTCGGTCTGGTAACGAACTCTGTACACTTGATGTTATGCGCGTATTTCACATGAACGTAAAGCTTCTTCAAAGACTCATGTTCTATCCTCGAATCCAAAACAATATATATATACGGTACGATACTTAAAATGTTTACCAAATACACGTTATGGTCTACTATATTTTCCAGAAAAAAACGATAAGGTAATTGTGAGTTGTACTAAAAGTAGGAGAAGAAAGGTTAATATTTGTCATTATTTTTATGGGTGTCTCGCACGTTTCTTTTCAAAGAGTCTATTTCATATTCGAACACGCACAGTAGTATTATTGATTAAGTTGCAACGTGTAGCACACCTTGACTGTGACCACCAGAAAACGTTAAAGAGACTTCCGTTTCTTGGTGGGGTGGGGGATTTTGAAATTTGTCTTTACGAGAGCAGATACTGGAGAAATCTCCGAGGAAAATCCAGTCTTTACAACAATAGCTTCTAAAATGCCAATTCAGCACAGATAGTGATTAATGTTGCTTCACGCCGGAGTGAGGAAGCGACAGCGGAATAAGAAATGAGTGCCGTCGAAGAAATAAATTGTTGAGCACGTTTCGCGGTTTTATAATGCACACCCGTACAACTATAGTTATCGTGCTATCGACCAGACGAATTAAGCGCTTACACGTTCGTTTTATGTATACACACACACGCGCGCGCGCTGCAGTGAATAAAGATATGCGTTTACTTATTTTATTATGTGTTTAAACCGTTACTTTCTCTCATTTGTGTTCTTTGCTATAAACGTGTAACTCTTAACAAGTCATGACTTCTTATGAAAAATGAATAACGAACATAATATGTATACAGATAGATCGATAAACGTTACTTCACTTGTGATAACCCTCATCAAAAGGACGTTCTTACTTCACCCAAGCTAAAGATTAACTATACTTGGATAAACTGAGCGTATTTATGTCCATCTATATAAATAACAGAATGAGAGGAGATATTAGGCCAAGTCAGCATCTGTTTATCTTTTTAAAATAATCGTATATATATGTATTCTAAGTACTTAAACTTATTTATATATTATAATAGTCGCTTAAATATATTGTTTTTGCAAATAGGTAAATTATACCCTACGTGTGTCATATTCTTGGTTTCATTTAGATATGATATTATCAATGAAGTTTTGACAACATAACTGAAAAATGTTATAATGCTGTGTTATATGCATTATTACCAAGTTACAGCTGTGTTATATGTATTATTAACCAGGTTACAACTGTGTTATATGTATCATTAACCAGGATACAACTGTGTTATATGTATTATTAACCAGGTTACAGCTGTGTTATATGCATTATTAACCAGGTTACAGCTGTGTTATATGTATTATTAACCAGGTTACAACTGTGTTATATGTATTATTAACCAGGTTACAACTGTATTACATGTATTATTAACCAGGATACAACTGTGTTATATGTTAGAAGAGAAGTCATTATTTCACATCTAGATTAACATTTCTAGAGCAGATGAAGACTAATGAAAAAGGTGCCAACAATCCATTGAGGACCAGTTTCACACACATATATCGACAGTGATAAAGTTCATGATAGGGTCCTAGTTCTGGAGTTTCGAGTAATAACTAGATCACAGATTGAACTTATGATTGTAACAATGGTTGCCTAATTGATTTTAGATGGTTAATATACTATCAATCATAAATTCTACTCCGCAAGATCTGAGACAGAAAGAACCTGGTCAAACTGAGATGCTAACAGTGCCAGTCGACTATAAATACACTTTGGGGGAATTTAGAGTGTTTAAGTATAGCGATGGACGAAATTTAAATCTACAGCTGCGTTAGAACCAGGTTACAGCTGGGTAATATGTATTGTTAACCAGGTTACAGATGGGTAATATGTATTGTTAACCAGGTTACAGATGGGTAATATGTATTGTTAACCAGGTTAAAGATCTGTTATATGTATTGTTAACCAGGTTACAGATGGGTAATATGTATTGTTAACCAGGTTACAGATGGGTAATATGTATTGTTAACCAGGTTACA